CTAATGAAAAGTATTTAAAATGACTATCAGAAATATTTTTGTTTTTTATATTTATAATTTTTATTAAAGATTTTAATTACAGTAATAAAAACTAATACAAACTGAACTAAGAGAGAGAAAGGAAAGTAAAAAGAGAGAGTAAAAAGTGCAAAGAAGAAAAATAAAAAAGAATAAAAAAGAAAGAAAAGAAAAAGGAAAGAGTGAAATAAAGAAAAAGAAAAGAAATATATAAAAAAGTGACTTCCAATCTTCATCACAAGTATAAACAAGTTTGATAGTTCTTCACCCCCTATAAGGTTACAAACAGATATCTATTTTTCCCATAACCCATCCCTTATCTATAAGCAAATCCATAAGACATCAATTTTTCAACACTGGTGTCAGCAAAAAGTCTGTAAAGAGTTGCCAGAATTTCATAAAACATGTCTTATGTTAACCTTGATCAACTAAACCAACTTTATATTCCTTCTTTTTACCTCTGAAAATCTTAATCTTTAGTTCATTCAAATATTGTCATAGGATTTGATCTCCCTTCAATTCTTCTTTGTCCCATCACATAGGCTTCTTCAAGGCTTTAACAAGCCTCTTTTGTAAATCCAATAAAAAGACACTGTCCAGGTCATTCTCTTGGCTTATCATTTGCATTTTCCCTTTAATTTTTAAAACTTCAGCCAGCTTCTTTTATATATCCAGCAAAGAATCCTTATCTGGGTCATTTTCTTGGCCTGCTACTTCTATTTCCACTTTAAATACCTTCTCTATCTTGTAATCCACGCTTTTTAAAAATCCAATATTTCTGATTCCATTATTTCTGCATCAAGTAAGATTTGTTTCATGTCTGGCATTCCTTCATTAACATCCTTTAAACATAGTCTATCCATAGAAGCAGACATCATTACTGATATTGTTGATATTGTGGCTACTAATTTCTGGTCCCATTCTTTGAAGCTGTTTATTTTATATAGTTAGTTCCAAAATATTATAGTAAGTTTCAACACTTCAAATTTGTCTGGACCCTTAATTCATTTATAACTTTCTTGGTTCAAAACCTTATTTAGCTTTTTGCGGACTTCCAGGGAAGAAAAAATGGTGGACTGAAGATGGCTCCACAAAAAGCAGAGCTGATGACCATGGCAGAATGAAGAGCTGGCAAGTAGACTGGTTCTTCAATAATTCCTCTCCAGACAAGGAGAGGACTTGAGATTCTCCACAAGTGTTTCAGACAGTTGCTCCTCACAAGGAGACTGCAAGACAGCAATGTCCAGCAGGTTTAGAGCTCTGAGGGGTGAGGGAATAGCCATCTTGCTCAAACCGGGGTTAGGACCTTTGAAAAGGACACTAAATTCACATACTTCCTTTTCTAAGCACTTTCGGAATTGCTTGTTAATGCTTTTCAGCTATTAGGAACCTTTGGATTGACAAGTCTGACAGCACCAGGTGAGTTTCCTTCAGTCCTTAGCAAAAGAAAGTTTTAACTACAAGTTTAAGAACTTAATTTTTTTTCTGAATAAACAGCAAAAGGGTGATTAAAATTTTGTTTTTGGAAAGTTACAAATGGACCAAGGGTCCAGATAAATTTGAAATAAGTTTTTGGAATTAATTATAAAGAATCCTTCCTATGGGAAGATACTTTGGTTTTGATTTTTTTTTTTGAAAAAACATCAGATATTTTAAAGATAAGATTTTAAAAATTGGACACTAGACTTCCAGGGAAGATGGCCAACTGAAGACGGCTCCACAAAAGATTGTTAGAAGTAAAAGGAAGGAATACAAAGTTGGTTTATTTGATCAATGTTAAAATAGATGCGTTATCTCTGATAACTCTTATTGGACTTTTGCTGACATCAGGACTGAAATGATGAGACTTTATGGATTTTTTTATAGATAAGGGATGGAATATGGGAAGAAGAGATCATTTGTTATATTTTAAGAGAAGGTGATAAGTTACTAAAATTATTTATACTTGTGATAGAGGGGGAAGTCATTTCTTTATATATATTTTTTCTTTGTCTTAACTGTATTCTTATTTTTTCTTTCTTTTCTATTTCTCTTTCTATTTTTTCTATTTTTTCTTTTTTTCTGCATCTTCTATTTTTTTCTTTTTTTTCTTTTCTTTTTTTTAGTTTTTATTAGTTTTTACCGCTGTAATTGTAATGTTCAATAAAATTATGATTAAGCAA